GGGGCATCTGTTATAGCCTACCATTTCAGTTACAACTTACAAGTTACCATTCATGAACTAAAAGAGCAATATCAACCCTAAACCCTATATGCAGTACCAGTAATGAGTGGAAGCTTCATCATAGCCAATGCCAAATCATAGAGTCATGTATTCATGTTCATACACATTCAAATGAAAAAACAAGCACATAATGAAACAAACCAGGCATTTCATAGAGCTCAGAATGCTTTGTATCATTCACAAGGGAAATAGGGGGCATCTGCTACAATTTCAGTTGCAACTTACCATTTTATGAACTGAAAGAGCAATACCAACCCTAAACCCTATATGCAGTAATGAGTGGAAGCTTCATCATAGCTAATGCCAAATCATAGAGTCATGTATTCATGTTCATACACATTCAAATGGAAAACCAAGCACATAATGGCACAAATGCACAATATAAATATAGAAATTGTACACTTAATGGCACAATAGAGGATCCAGTAGGAGCAGCATCTCCACCACCAACATTTCCATCCATTATTTCTATAACAGACAAACATAATTGTTAGAATTTTGAAATTTAAACAATAAGCTTCAGAATAAGCAAATAATACATGAAAATACATTGAACTTATACCTTTTTCCAGCCTCTCTACTTCATCAATGTTTTCTTCAACTGAGATAGGCTGGTGAGCCATTCTCAACCAATCTTGTGCACATATAAGGGCTTCCACAATTTTACAACTTAATGAACTCCTAAAATAGTCCAAAACCCTACCACTTGTACTGAAAGTGGACTCAGAAGCAACTGTGGAAATGGGAACACCAAGTACATCCCTAGCCATCTTAGAAAGTATAGGAAACCTTTCACTATTTAACTTCCACCATCTTAGAATATCAAAGTCCCCATCTTCCTCAATTATGGACTCAGCTAAATATATATCAAGTTCAGATTTTTTAACTCCTACCTGACCACTCTCAAGCTTCTTCTTTTTAAGATCAGCCTTAAACCTGGACACAGGCCTATTTTCAGAATTACCACACTCCATAGATGCTCCAGAAGTAAAAGTTGTATTAGAACTTCCACCAACACAGTCAGGGTAACTTGAAACATAATCAACAAATAACTCAGTTAGACCTGACTTCACTTTTAGAAAAAAAGCAGCACCTTTATTATCACCATATAAAGCATTTAGCTGAAATGGCATATACTCAAACTTGTCCCTAGGATCTAAGACATTAGCATAGAAGATTAGATAATTCATCTTTTCAGGATCACCCCAGTACTTTTCTAAGACAGAAGCAGTTGGAGAGGCAACCATATCTTTGAGGACAAGGAACAAGTCAGAAATTTCAGAAAAAAAGGTATTGGAAGTAACATATAGTGAGCCTGAAATTCTTAGTGTCATTTCATAAAAATGTTTTAGAATGGTCACAAAAGATTCAACAGCAATCCAATCTAAAACATCAGGCATGTCAGAACCCAAATCAGTACTATATGCAGATTCATTCTCCTCATAGGCTTCAAACACTTTCTCATTACAAACTGCAGATTTTAGCATCAGGTAAGTGGAATTCCACCTAGTTGGAACATCCAGGTGCAGACCACTCTTGGCTTCCACTCCTATCAAATCAGATATATCTTTGAACTTTTGAAGCCTAGCAGGTGAGTTCCTAACATACTTAACAGCTTCCCTAACTCTCATGACTGAAGTGTCTGAATCTTTAAGACCATCTTGTACTGCTAAGTTCAAGATGTGTGCAATGCAACGCATATGAACATACTTTACTTTTACAGAAGAAGCACCCCAGGCTACTAATTTTTTCTTCAAAAAACCAACAGCTGTATCATTACTACTAGCATTATCAACAGTCACAGTAAAAATACTTTTCAGACCCCAATCAAGTAAGCAATTTTCTAGGGCTTTAGCAAGGTACTCCCCTTTGTGAGAGGTGACAGGGACAAAGGAAATTATTTTTTTCTGGAGCTTCCACTGATTATCTATGAAATGAGCAGTAATGTACATGTAATTTATCCTCTGAATAGAGGTCCATGTATCAGTAGTTATACTAACTCTCTGAGTTTGTTCCCTAAAATTCCTTTTTAGAGTCATTTTTTCATCAAGGTATATTTGAAAAATGTCTCTAGCAATTGTCCATCTAGAAGGAATTTGAAACCTAGGACAGGCTGCAGCAACAAAATTCCTAAAACCTTGTCTGTCTACAAATCTAAAAGGAAGCTCATCAATGATTAGCATTTCACCTAGAGCTCTCCTAATAGCTTGTTGATCAAATACCCAAGTTCCCATGACCCCAGTCTTTCCAGATGGTTCACCTGTCTGTGGAGGTACAGGCTGGAAGGTTAATAGGGCTTGTCTAGTGTCTTTAGCATGGGGGTTTTTCATGCAATTAAGCATGTGATTTCTGATGGAGGAAGTTCCATGTTTCTTAGAGTGACAACAATATAATTTTTGCACAGCATATGCACCTCCCCTTAATAACCACATCCTTTTCATCCTTAATTTCATCAAAGTGATCCCAAATCTTAGATCTTTTGTCAACCACTTTTCTCTTTTGTCCAGAAACAGCAGGTGGTGCAGTCTGCTCATTGGTAATGTTAGGCTCAGGAATTTGACTTTCCACCACTGTTTCTTGACTCAGAGGAGGTTGAGATCCAGATGTAGAAAAGGTCACACATTCTTCAGGGTCCATCTAATGTAAGCAAGTAAGCAACACATGATATATTGATATGTGTATACTAAGCTTCCACAGAGTTCATACCTCACAGATAAGGCAAGTACGCAACACATGAATAAGAGTTGTACATATGCAGTGAGTAAGAGCTTCCACAGAGTTCATATCTCACAAATAATAACCATAATATGTAAGTCTGGAACAATCAGCAAGCTGATTTACAGAAGGATAAAAGCACTTGGCTTTTTCACTTCTCTACAGACTCTGAAGAACCCAGTTCACTCTTTGTACTCGTTTGAGTAATAGAGTTGAAAAAGGCTTCTTCATCAAAATAATAGGGCAGTTATGTTACTTATGTACAACAAACAACATAACAGGGACAACTGGATAACCATAGTCAGTACTCAGTAGGCAACACATGAATATAGAATATATAGCTTGATTAGCTTCCACACTTCATTCATATTTCAAATCAACATATTTGAAATTCTGAATGCATCATAATATACATCAACAATTAACAGGGACAACAGGATAAGTGGATAACCGAACATTCGAACAGATTTGTACATGCAAGTTTCACAAATATACGAACATCACAAGACTAATCACAACTCAGAACATCCATGCATCATCATTCATCAAGGACAACAGGATAAGTGGATAACCGAACATTCGAACAGATTTGTACATGCAAGTTTCACAAATATACGAACATCACAAGACTAATCACAACTCAGAACATCCATGCATCATCATTCATCAAGGACTAAACTTACCATAATACGAATAACGGAATAAGTATTTTATACCTCAACGGCTCAAGACGAAAGAGATGAAAGGCTTCCACAGTTCCACTAGACCACTAGGTTAGAGAGTAGAGACGGTAAACCCTACAAGGAGATGAAGGCTTCCACTCGGTTGAGGACTACAGGCCTACAGCCCTACAACGACGGCAACGGCGGCCGACGAAGTGAGAAGTCAGACCAGATTAGGGTTAGCCGCTTAGAGAGTTAGAGAGAGAGAGTCTGAGAGTGTAAGTTAGGGTAATGGCCGAAGGGAAATGGGGATAAGTGGATAACCGGATAAGGGAAAGGGACTAAGGGAGTGGGTTGTGGGCTAATGGGCTTGGGTAGTTGGGGAGTTGGGTAATGGGCTTAGGCTTGGTCGGGTTTTCGGGCGGTTCGGGTAGGGATTAGGAGAACCCTACCCGCTTGGTGTCGGCCCAAAAATTATAGGGTGGGCGGTTCGGGTCGCTGGGTTCGGGTCGGGTCAACCGACCCAATGACAAAAAAACGGGTTCAGCCGATCGGGTTATTCGGGTAGGGTCGGTTTTGCTCAGCCCTACTAATATTACTGAAAAATTAAAACGACAGAATAGAAATATACAGTACATTTTTATGATAAAACTCTCGAGCATCTATCTATCAAGATGAGTTTGTATCACTTCCAATTTTATAATATTTTAATCGGTTTTTACAGATCTATTTCGGATCACATTGTTTTAATAAAATGTTAGGATTGTATATTTCAAAATAGAACTATCATGCTTTATTTTCAAAATATGAGTAATTACTGTCATGTTTTGGTAGTATCAAATTGTAAACATGACTGTATTTTTCAGGTTTGACAATAATTACTCATATTTTGAGAATAAACGCATCACCACCTCCAATTTTGAATTCTGTAATTTCTTAACTTTTATTTCTGAAATTTTCCCTTTTGAATTCTTCAAACTAAACCGACTGGAAATCCGATCAAAATGAACAGACCAAAACTTTGGGTTTTTTGTTCCCCTAATTGTTTACAACCATTCTTGATGTACACACTCTTGTACACACCTTATACACACCATGTTTGTAAAGCTTTTTTTTTTGTCTGTGAATCCAGTTCACAGATAATATTTTGTTTGTGCAAAACATTGCCTGTGAATCGATATTCACAGACAAAAAAAATCTTTCACAGACATAGGTGTGTACAAAAGTGTGTATAAAAGTGTGTACAAACATCATTTTTGAATTGTTTTAACCAGTGAAATACTACCTACCTAGTATTACCTCCGTTCTTAAATAAATGCAACACTTTGACTTTTACACTATTCACATGTTCTACTTTGACTACGTTTTATTTATTAATGTAATAATATTATTTTATGAAAAAATATTGTTAAACCTATCTCATTGTAAATTTTCATAATCTAATTTTTTTACTTTTTTTACTAATACAAAATTATTTATATTAATGGTCAAAGTTGTGTCTCGGCAAGTGTGAAATGTTGACCGTTGCATTTATTTAAGAACTGAGGAAGTACTACGTATTTGGCACGGATACATCTGTCTAGAGACACATCGAGAAAGTTATTGAGCAGCGGGGCAACGGAGTCGCGTGCTGCGATACGGTCAGTCATCTGCACTCGTACAGTTCATCTTTGTATTTTATCACCTGATTCATCTCGATGAGTGAAAATAGTTTAGCAAAAGAAACTCAAGAATCCGGAGAAAGTGATTTGCGCAAAGGAGAAGAATTTGGAGCTGAAAGTGTAGAAACTTATTCTAAAAATGGTAGGGATTCAATTGATAGGATCAGTGCATTGCCGGATTGCTTACTTGTTCACATCATATCTGTTCTGGGTGTGAAGAAAGCTGCTGCTACAAGTATTTTGGCTAAAAGATGGCAGTTTCTTTGGGCTGAATTGCGGAGCCTTGAATTTGAATTCTATCATTGGGGTAAATTTAAGGAAGCTAACAATACAACTGACTTTGTGGCTTGGGTTAATAGCATCATCGCTACTCGTCCTGGAAATTATCTTGAGAAGTTGAAGGTTGCTTTCAAGTACGAGAATTGCTTTGCTCCAGATGTTGATAACTGGCTGGAGTTTGCCGTAAAAAATAAGGTCAAACAAGTCACTTTGAACACTAGCTTCAGAGAACACTGTTACACTCTTGGTGAAATAATGTATTGTAATTCATCATTGACATCATTGTCTTTGGAAGGTTGCATTTTGGTTCCTGAAAGAACAATCGAGTGGTCATCTCTGACTAAATTACAGATATCAAGTGTGGATTTGCCTCAGTGTGTAGTTGAAAAGATATTATCAGGCTGTCCAGTTTTGAATTCTTTGGATCTGAGTCATTGTTGGGGTTTCACTTGTTTGGAGATCAACTCTAAAAACCTCTGTGAGCTGCGTGTGTGGGAATCTGAACATGGAAGTGATCCTTTCTTGCAAATTTCTGCACCCTATATAAAAGATTTGAATCTTTGGTTGTCCTCCGTACAAAGACAGTTCAAGCTCAAAAACATTTCATCTCTTGTTAGTTCTACTTTTAATCATTCTGATCTATCGGGGCACTTGACCTCTGAGGATGTGCGTAATATGAAGGAAGTTTTTGAAAAGATTCACCATGTTAAGAAGCTTGATTTGGGGCCCGGACCCATTAAGGTGTGTATGATTCTTTCATTTTCTCTGACATTCCTGTGTTTCGAAAATAAAAATTCAAATGATCTTCTTGACAAGCTTTTTAGAGATGTCTGTGTGGAATTCATATGTGTTCTTTGAATGTGATAGTTTCATTGGATGTTTGGATATCTATATATACAAGTAGAGTATTAACTCTGGAATTGAATACGATACGTGGCTGCTCATGGTTTTCAAAGGCAGACCCGAGGATGAACCTGCTAAGTTGTTATTCTTCTACAAACATGGGGTTCTACTGATAATAAATCTGATAAACCTATGAGACAAATACACCTCTATTTTTCTTGTTAAGGTTCATGAGAGAAAATAAATTTAAATGAGGAGAATGGGTTCAGAAGACAACATTATGTATAGCAACGTCTTATGGCAGTAAAAGACTTATCCCTAACTACATTTAGTGCACGACAGATAGATACTTATGTATGGCAGAAAATAACATTTATGCACGAAAGGATACTTTTTGTATAAGTCAGTAAAAGACTTATCCCTACCCATATTTAAAAAATGCATGTTAATAAAAATTAGGGCTCTCCTACAGTGCCTTCTAAATTAAATGGTGTACTGTTACCTTAACATTTTTAACCAATCAATTTCTAATGTGATGCCACGTTAACATCCAATCATATTACGTAGTAGCATACTAAGTTTCTTATTTGCATTTTAGTCCTTAATAAACAAGTGAATACTCAAAAGTTTGCTAACTGCTGGAGACTCCGTTACTCCTGTCACTCCCGTAAGTTACAAAAGAAGCCAAGCAACCTGCAACCTCTTATCCTTGCTAACCTACGTCAAACGGCCAAATCCACAGATGGACAATATCTTAAGGGCTTCAATTCTGAAACTCATTCACAATAAGCTTCCTTCCCTAAGGACGAGTTTGGGTATCAATAAGAAATGGGCATCCTTCAATTTCTAAAGCCGATGCCTTTCCGTCGACCGCCGTCTTGTTCACAAACTGAACGCCCAATTGTTGAATTCTATAGCTTTGACCGGTCTTGTGTCTTGGTTTGATTCGCTGATATTTTTGTAATTTTGTCTTTGTTTGGCGTAGCCTTAGAAAGGAAAGGAGGTTGCTAGGCTTCTTGTGGAACTTAACAGAGAGTGACGGGGTCTAGAACAGTTAACAAATGAATATTTCACTTATTTATTGTGGACTATTATGCTATGCAAATAACGTGGTTGTGTGGTTCACAGTAGAATTTGATTGGCTGCAAATGTGAAGGTATCGGTACCTTTTATATTTAAAGAGGTACTGTAGAAATTTCCTAAAAATTATGCAGTCGTGTAAATTTTGAGAGAGAATAAATTTCTATTATCAAAGAATTGAATACCATTAAGAAAGTGTCATAGATTTGTGACGTGTTTCCAAACAAGAGTTGTGATAAACTAACTGATTGTTGGTTTGACAGCAATGTAGAAGTGACTCAGGGAGAGCAAACATTCATGGATTATCTTAATATATCTTAGTATTCATGGTTTAAATGATCACTGTTAAGGTGATCATTTAAAGAGCTACAACATAAGTGTTATTTAAAGTGTTCAACATAAGTGTTATTTAAAGTGTTATTTATCTGTCTACTAACAACACAAATCATTTATTTTGATGCGATAAGGTGATCGTTCACATGTTAAATTGAAATGTTGTGGAAATCTTGGAAGATAGTTGGTCAAACATGGAGTTACGATACATTGATACATGAGGAATGGATTAATATTCAAAAGTTACTTTCTGTGTTGGATATATAAGTGCATATCTATGTCATCTTGTACTTCCTCCATCTCGTTTCGAGATCCCCATTTAAAAATTACTTTTTTTAGGCAATAATTAAATAATGTAATTTGAGTATACATGATAAAATTACTATTGGATGATAAAATTGTCATATAGGGAGTTAATTATTTCCTAAAACGCAAATAAAGTCCTTGATATGGGACCTTCGAAAGAGGCAATTGAAAACTTTAACACTGATGGAGGGAATATATTTTATGTATCTATACATCTTTGTTTTTTCTACATGGTGCTTAATGGTTGGCAGCGCTACTAGGCTCTAGCAGTGCTGGTGCTTAATGGTTGGCAGCTTCCAAAATATAAGCTAAGGTGCTTGAAAATAGAATTGGTATCTGAAGCTTCAGAAACCATACCTGGCATTTTGGGTCTGCTGGAATCTTCTCCAGACATTGAGACATTGGTCATAGATTCTGATGACCCCTATGGGGTAAGCATTAATTGTTCACGTCTTGATTTTTGCTATGAATATTTATCTAGTTTGGTTTCAGGTGGGTATAGTATATGCTCTGAACTTGTAATGTTTTATGATAAATTATGTGTTTTGTCCACATGATCAAGGCTTGTCTAAATATTTTGCGATTCTAGTTGGACTATGACTGGGCCCCACCTGCAAAGGATAATTTGGTTTGCGACTTGTTGCATTTGAAGACGATCAAAATGTTTAGCTTGGCAGATCCAGACCTTGATGGTGAACCAATGCTCACATTGGCCCGAATCCTTCTTAAGAGGACTCCGATATTGGAAGATATGGGCATATATGTTGGTACTGAAGATACAAATGACTTTGTCAAGATAGGACAAACCCTTCTCAATTACCCTAGATCCTCACCGAAGGCTGTCATCCATCTATATTAGATTGTTGGCTTTTGTGTGTTCAATTTCTCTACTATGTAAACTGTAAAGCATTTAGTATTCTCTACTTGTTAGTTCTAGTTTGACTAACTTGCTTCTAGTGGGATGATTTTTCTACATCGTATTTAAAACATTTTCAGTACTTGTGGTGCAGAACTGCAAATTATAGTAACGTATACCTCTAATTTCAGTTAAATAAAGCAACATTGATTAGCAGGTTTGAGTTTCAAAGTTTAATTAATATTTCGGGCTTCTGAAAAGATTTATGAGAACTTACTTTTCGAAAAGGGAAACATTTCTTGGCATGAATACCTCTCGTTTTTTCAATAAAAAGAGAGGAAGAAGTAGGGAGAATTGGAAAACACACAAGAAATCTAAGCAGCACCTTTTTGTGGAGGATTTTGCTATAGGCCATACTGCAGAAAAATAGTCACTTGTTGTCTATTTTCTCCTAATTATATGTGTGTATCATCTGCCTTTATGGGTGAGGGTTACAACTTGAGGTTATTGACGTGAAGTAAGTTAATTGTTTAGCTTTGGTCGCACTCATTTAAACTGTTGCTAGAAATGGTTTCTGAAATTGCAATGAAATGGACCAAACGAGCAAGAATGGGTGCAATTGAGGCAAAGTTTATGGGTTTTGGTGTGGGCACAATCATGTTCACTATGGAAAAAGGTCAAGACACTCTAGAGGTTAGTTGAGGCTCAATTCAGTCTCAAATAATGTGTTGTCCAATTATGGATTTGTTGATTATGCTATCCCCATAGTTCTATTAATCTTATTTTAGCACCAGACCACATTAAATTAAAATCATCAAATCAGTTCAAATCAAACTAGTAGCATATATGATATATAGAGACCAGATATGCAAGAAATATTAGTATAAGTGTACAACTAGACAATCTTGAATTGTTTGTTTATACTGTTCATAGTTGGTTGAAGCTTTTTGTTGAGCCAACCTGAAGTATATGAGATTTTAAAATGGCAGACCAACTTTTTCGTAGACCCAGGGATACTGTTGCCCCTAATACCCTGACCCCTACCCCACGCCCACGTCCATCGCTCCCGACCCTACCCCCTACCCCTACCTTACCCCATACCCTCCCCTCACGCCCACATCCCTTGCTCCCAACCCCGACCCTACTTCTACCATGTACTGCCTACCCCTACCATCTTCATGTACCGTACCCGTACTGCTACCCTACCGGACCCTAACCCATACCTTTACCCTACCTCAGCCCCACCCCCTTACCCTTACCTCGTACCTGTACTCTTACCCTACCCCTACCCGTACCCATATTGATAGAACCCAGAAATTAAATAAAGGAAAAAGGGAAATTAAGAGTAACAAATCTTCTATTAAGTAAGGCAAGAATCTCACGCTTACTTAAAGAAAGACCAAAGGAGAATCTCCAGAGAATAATATGTATTTGTAATGTCGATGGTTTATTCATAAGGCAAAGAGCCTATTTAAAGAGATTACAAGGAGGGACAGTAGGGAAATAGTTGAGCACTTACTAATTAACTCATGCGTAGTAGCGGGGAGATCCACTTATTTCTCAACTGAAAGATAACAGCCTAATGGATAAGAATAAAATGAAAAATTATAAAGGTACACACTTTTTGGTTTTTGGTGTACACACTTTTTACACATGTCTGTGTAAGGTTTTTTTTATGTCTGTACAGACATAACGTATTTTAAAAATATGTTATGTCTGTACAGACATAAAAAAAACCTTACACAGACATGTTGCAAAAGTGTGTACACCAAAAGTGTGTACCCAAGTCCAACCCGAATAAAATAACTAAAAGCATAAAACCAGGAACCACTAGCCATTAGACTATGCTGCCACGTTTCCCTGTTTCTTCTTTCTAGAATAAGTAAATTTAAAAATCCTATCATTATTCCCCCCTTGAAAAGACGACTTGTCCTCAAGTCGAAAGTCTGGAAACTGTGCAGTGAATAAATCATAATCCTCCCAAGTGGGCTCTTCGGATGACTTGCCTTCCCACTGTATTAGCACTTCGAGAGTCTTGTTGTCAGTCTAGAGGTGCTGCAGCATCTTGGAAGGGATAAGTATCAACTCCATGTCTGATGATAAGGGCAAAGGTACTGGTGACTGAGGCAGCTCCTGACCAATAGCTGGTTTTAGTAATGAAACATGAAAAATGGGATGGATTTTGGCTGTCGCAGGATGTTCCAGCTCGTATGCTACTGTCCCGACGCGGCGAAGCACTCTGTATGGCCCAAAGAACCTTGGAGACAGCTTTTCAAATCTTCGCTTGGCTAAGGTTTTTTTATGGTATGGTTGTATTTTTAACCATACTACATCTCCTGGAGAAAATTGTATGTCCCTGCGGTGGCGGTCAGCTTGACTTTTCATGCGATTTTGAGGTTTAAGCAAGTTATCACGCAGAATGTTTAACATGTCATCCCTTAACTACAGTTGCTCCTCCAGTTCGGCCACTGCTGTTTCTCCTTTTATATGTGGGACAAGCGTGGTGGTTCTCTGCCATATACAATCTGAAATGGTGTGGTATTAGCCGCAACATGGTAACTTGTGTTGAAAGAGTACTCAGCCCAGCAAAGATAGGCATTCCACCTTTAGGGTGTTCTTGGATAAAACACCTATGGTAGGCCTCTAAACAACGGTTGACCACCTCAGTTTGGCCGTCTGATTGAGGGTGGTAGACAGTGCTCATATTCAGGCGAGTCTTGCTTATCCGAAAAAATTCTTGCCAAAACCCACTCAAGAAAAAAGGATCCCTGTCAGAGACTATAGAACGGGGCATACCATGAAGACGGGCTATCTCCTTACAGAACAATTGTGCTACTGATTTAGCAATATAAGGATGAGATAAACCCATGAAATGGACATATTTGCTTAAACTGTTGACCACCACGAAAATTACGTCGCAACCCTTAGACTTTGGAAGTCCTGTAATGAAATCCAGAGATATATCCTCCCATATGCGTTCTGGGATGGGAAGAGGGTGAAGAAGCCCTGCAGGAACCAATGTCTGATATTTATTCTGTTGTCAAACTGCACATCTTTGAATAAAACGCATAACATCATGTTTCATTCCCTTCCAATATAAATGGGCACCCAACCTTTTCAATGTCTTTAGATAGCCCCCGTGCCCCTCAGTTGGAGTGCCATGCGCTTCCTCAATCAGCTTACTACGGAGCTCCTCTTGATTAGGAATGACCAACCTTGATTTGTAATACAAGCGTCCGCTTGCCAGACTGTAATTAGGAGTTGATTCCGGATCTCTCTGCATCTTTTCAATTAGGGCTCTTGTTTCTGGATCTTCTTTCAATGCTAATGGTAATTGAGAAATGTTGTTTACCATGGGAACCACTAGTTGAAAGAATTCTGCTAGTTGGGGATGTCGAGATAGTGCATCAGCAGCTGAATTATCCTTCCCAGATTTATAAGTGATTGTGAAATCAAATGGAAGTATTTTAATGAGGAGTCTATGCTGGGAATTAGTTAATACCTTCTGATCTAGCAAGTGTTTCAGGCTGCAGTGATCTGTTTGAACAGTGAAATGACGGCCTAAGAGGTAATGACGCCATTTTTGAAGAGCAAGAATTAGGGCCAACAACTCTCGATCATAAGTTGATTTAAATCTATTGGACTTAGAAAACCCTTTGCTGAAATAGGCTATAGGATACCCCTCTTGCATAAGCACCGCTCCTACACCCTCCATAGACGCATCACACTCAATAGTGAAAGGGAGCTTGAAGTTAGGAAGCTTCAGAACTGGAGTAGTGGTCAGGGCTTCTTTGAGAGCATCAAAAGCAGCTTGAGCTTGTGCAGTCCATGAAAAAGCACCCCTTTTGTTAATTCAGTTAGAGGACGTGCAATGAGCCCATAATTCTTCACAAACCGCCTATAGTACCCGATGAACCCCAGAAAACCCCTCAGTTCCTTCGCATTGGAGGGTGGGGACATGTGAGAATATGTCCCAAATATTCAATCCGGGACTGCCCCAGTGAACATATTTTTGCATTTGCATAGAAAAAATGCTCCTGTAAAAGCTGAAAGACAGTTTTCAAGTGCACATGTAACACCGCCCCAAGTATTTGTACTTTATCAAATTGTGTATTGAACCCTAAGAAATCAATAAGAGCATTTTTACGTGATTGTAAATTTTTACCATTTCTTTTACGTGAATAGTAAAATTCACGTGGGGCCCACACCGGAAGTGGGGGCCGCCCGGTACTGTCTGGAACACATATTATATTAATCTTGGCCTAGATAATATGTATATGGTGGTTGATTATTGTAATGCAATCGGACTTGCATGTAAAATTTCACGTTAATCGGACTCCGTTTGGGCGGTCAAACGGGCGTTGACCGCCAAGTCAATTGTTATACCCGACCGGGTATTGGCAAATACCCGACCGGGTATTTGCTGAAAATTTGCCCCAGGGGCTACTGTATTCTATACCCGATCGAGTATGGGTAGGTACTCGATCGAGTATACCCTGAAAATTGGCCTTACGGGCTACTGTCTCCTGTACTCGACCGAGTATAGGTGGGTACTCGATCGAGTATTGGGTTATGCTCAAAACAGGCAGTTTTGAGTAGGTTAACGTGGGCCGTTCAGGTGGGACCCGCCCACGTTGGTTCCTAAGGATTGTTATATGACTATAGGGCTAGGTATTGTCCATAGTTAAATGAATGAAAGGGTTAGCCATATCCAGGTTAGGGTTTGGTAAGGAATAAGTTGGGGTTGAGTATCCCCGGGACGGTAAATGATCCTGAAACTCGGTTGGGGTTGAGTATACCCGGGACGGTAAATGATCCTGAAACTCGGTTGGGGTTGAGTATCCCCGGGATGCTAAATGCTCCCAAAACTCGGTAGGATATTATGAATGTAGAATGTAGCTTGTGAGCTAGGCATTTGGGAAAGGAGTGAGAAAAGTCTGATAAGAACTTTACCACTAAAATACTTTTAAGGAAACGGACCCACGAGTTGAGTATTTTTCAAATATATATATAGTATGTATCATCGGGCAGATGAGTGACAATTACATATATGTGTCACCCTACTTTTGGGTCTCGTGTCTGAAACATTAGTTATTCTTCATATAGCATAGCCTGCTTGTCACTAGTACTTCTATGGAGTACTGACCCCTCCAGGGGCCCTCACATTTTTCCGGTTAAGGCTAGAGTCCTACTACCTGCACCTTTGCCTAGGGTGATTGATCAAGAAGGAAGACGTGGTTCGTGCTTCCATTCTTATTTCAAATTTATAAATTGCTCATGGATTTTCGAACAATGTTTTCCCTAAAACAGTTGGGGGCCTGCGTGCCCGTGTTTGCCACGTGTGCTAAGTATCAAACATACTATTATTTCCGCATTTGTTTGATTATGATATTGATGTTGATTGCATGTGTTTACTAATCGATTTGGCAATAGAATCAATCGGACGCCTTGTACAATTCAATAGGGATGAACTGTTGTTGTTCTTATCGGGTTGTACGGCGGTTGTCTACGTGGCCCGGATGCGGTCCGGGACGTGACATTACATGGTGGTGAGCTGTGGGGCTGTATACTAGTATATCATCAAAGAAGACTAGCACAAACCGTCTCATTTGGGATCTAAACAGATCATTCATAACGGACTGAAAAAATTGCAGGTGCATTAGTGAGACCGAAGGGCATTACCACAATTTCATAATGCCCTGAGTGAGTTAGGAAGGCAGTCTTGGGAATATCAGAGGGGGCTACGAGTATTTGGTGGTAACCAGATCTCAGATCAATTTTTGAAAAATATGTAGCCCCATTTAATTCATCAAGCAGTTCATCAATATTGGGGATGGGATACTTATCTGGGATGGTGATCTGATTTAGACAAGGATAGTCAATGCAAAGGCGCCATGTGTTATCCTTCTTTCTAACCAAAAGAACTAGACTTGCAAAGGGACTCGAACTGGGCCTCACAAAACATTTCTTTAATAATTCAGCAACTTTGATCTCAATCTCATTTTTCTGAGAATGAGGGTATCGATAGGGTCTCAAGTTGGGTGGATTTTCATTTGCTCTGAGAGTGATGGAATGATAATGATTCCGAGCAGGAGGCAACGTACGAGGTTCAGCAAAGATACTTGAGAATTCAGAACATAGGGAATCAACATTTAAAGCATCAACCCCACTATGTTCCAAATGTAACGATAGACTGTGTAGATGAACACCCTTTTGAGGCTTAGAAGTTACCCCTTGTAGCTTATACTTCTTCCCATTGAGCCAAAATATCATGAACATTTCCTTCCAATTTGCTTGGATGGTGTGCAGAGAAGCTAACCATTTGATTCCCAGAACTAGATCAGCACCCCCAGGGAGAAAGGAAAGAAATCTTGCTTGATTAATACATCTGAAATTTTAATTTCAAGAGCCAGCACAAACACGACTGCACTTAATTGTGCTGCCATTGCCTATCTGAACCCCAAATGACGGAACGAGTTGTACAGGAAGCTTCAACTCTGTCACCAATGCTTCAGATATAAAATTATGGGTAGAACCGCTATCTACCAGAATTAAAACATCCTGGTTTTGTAGAGAACCCAGCAACCTCATGGTGGATGCTGACGCTTTGCCCAAGATAGCGTTGAATGAAATTTCAGCCTCTGCTGCATTTGTGTCAGAATCAATTTCATCATTTTGAGGAGGAATCACCTCTTCATCTTCCTCAGCTATTTCCATCAGTGAGAACGAGCCTGTGCACCTATGCCCAGGGCGGAAAGGATCACCACACCTGAAACAAAGCCCCTTCTCACGGCGACGTTGGTGCTCGGAAGACATGGCAGGTGAAGTGGGCTTGACGCCTGAGGAGGTTGGGTTGGCTGGTTTGTTGGTGATTATTTGTCATGAGTTCGAGACTTGGGAGCTGTTGAAGTTGACACGATTCTGGACAAGGGATGAATTAGGCTTGGGCCTAGCAGTATGGGCTAATTTCTTCTCATACTCCAGTGCGAGACTGTTTTCCATCATTTTCAACGGAGCCAAAGATTCATTATTTTTTGGCTTGAGATTATGATGGAATAAAGCAAAATGTCTCACTAAACTGTCTTCGCTTCTTTGTTATGAAGCAGCAGTCAGTCCATGCAATTTTGGACGGGATTTTCACTATGGGTCATCCGAAAACAGTCTCTTTGTGCTTTAGTACAGAGGTAAGACTGCGTACATCAGACCCCCCCTACCCCACCGTAGGTGGGAGCCTTTGCGGCACTGGGGTAAATGAAAATGAAAATGATACTCTAGTGCGAGAGTGGTGGCCCTAAACACAATGTGAGGACGATGGATCCTGATGTCAGCTTTGAGCTCCTCTTTCAGTCCGTTAATGAACACTCCTAGGAGACAATGTTCAGGCCAATTTTTCACATGCGCTGAACGACGTATGAATTTCGTTCGATATTCTGCCACAGTCCCGGATTGTTGAATGCTACACAAGAATTCATCCGGATTTTGATATTCTGGAGGGTCGTAACTTTCCTGCAGAGCCTTGACCAGTTCACCCAGTATAGGATTGACCTTTCCCCGTTGACCCAAGTGTAGCTCTGTTTATACATAAATGTTTGTGTCCATATCTTATATGAGGTTATTTTAGACATTTTATTGTTAAACCTTATTTTAAATCCTTTGAAGTAAACATGAGCTTATAGCCAGGGGCGGAGGTGGAGGTGTAACACCGTCCCCAAATGTATTTATCTTTAAGCGAATAATTTATTGAACCCTATGAAATTTTTAGTGAATTTACGAAGTTGTGAAATTGTATTAATTTTTTCGCGTGAATAGTAAAATGCACGTGGGGCCCACATCGGGAGTGGGGACCGCCCGATATTATCGGGGCCACATATTATATTGATCTTGGACTAGATAATATGTATATGGTGGTGGATATCCTAGTTGAGCCATGACAATGGCATAGGGTTGATCGGTTGGTCAAACGGGGCCAAATTATCAGTATCGGCAATCTATCAGATAACAGCCCGAAAAGGGATTTCGGAGACTTCTAAATTAAAGTTGAGGAATGCATATTGATTCTAAGGTCCATTAAGAATTGGGAACAAGTGTTATATTTTATTTGACGCGATAAAATAAAATATACTTAAAACAGTCCGGAAAATACAACTTTCGGGACCGATTGTACACTTCTGGACAAAAAGGGTTGACCTCCCACATGGGTGAGGCCAACCCACGAATTTAGCCTCATTATTCAAGGTGGGAGAGGACTGATTTGAGATGTTTGGCATCAAAATAAATCATGGTGGCCCTCCTCTCTTTCACTCATTGCCCAAAAGGAGACAAAGGGGCATTCCTACCCATCCCCCTCCTCACTAGTTCGGCCAGCAGCAAGGGAAAGGAGGAAAGAACCTCTACAACTTCATCTTTCATAGCAAAATTCGAGTTGAGCTCAAACAAGAAAGTTGGGAGGAAGTTAAAGAAGGAAAAAGCTAGGAAAAAGTGTGAAAATTAAGGTAATGACCTTATCATAACTTTTCCTTTGTTTTTCTTCTAGCATATAAGATATATATCATATGAAGGACCTTTAGTATTGTTCTACATGATTTAAGTGTAGAATAATGGGTTGGAAAGTGATTCTAAGTCAAAAAACGGACTTAGAAGCCAAATCGACCGGTTTGCCGGAAAATAACCTTTTATAGGTTATTTGTGTTGATATGGGTTTTGTGATGATAAAACTTTGTTAGGAACTTGATTTAAAGTATTTTTGAGCTTCGCCGGAGTTTCGTCGGAGTTGGTCAAAGTTCGCCGGAGTTGGTCAAAGTTTGCCGGAGTTGGTCAAAGTTCGCCGGAATTAGTCAAAGTTCAATCGAGAAGCATAGAACGCGCTTAAGCTTAATTAAGGTGAGGATGACCGACTATGTTACTTATAATCTTTGGGTTAATTTCATGGTATTTCCTAAGTGAATACAAATGTGATGTGCATGGGTTGTTAATGGTTATTAATGCCTAAATAAAACTACTATTGATTTTAAGTATAGTATGCATGATACACAAATTTATGAATAAATTGTGTATGTTTAGATGTTATGATTATGTGTGTATGATGATTGTACCAACCATGAATTTAATTTGAGATAGTATACTTGATACCATGAGGAGAAGCCATGAAGGTATGAAAGTGATACTTGATATTAAGGCAAATCATGCATGAAGAAAGAATTATATTGAAATAAATAAATAACTAGCATTGAAATATTAGTTGGAAATGTTAGTTGAGAAATGGATGAATTAGATCCTAAGTGATGGATTATTAGGTATCCAAGTATGTATAAAATGTAGAGATTTGAGCTCAAGTATTGTGGAGAAGATGAATAATAGAATGATATTGAGACCTAGGGTTTACAAGCTCCAAAAGGAGTATAAATAGAGGAATAACGGGCCGGGCCGCTAATATGGGCCCGGTAGCCCAACTACATAAAAGACTAATCTAGTACATACAAATGATATATTAAAAGTACAATAATACAAATGATATCCGTAAGACGTGTGTGGGCCGCTGTCCGGGCCCAATAGTCGTGAGACCCGGGGGTCCGAGTCTATATACTCTATCAGGAGTCCCCCACTCTCCGAGTCGAGAGTATTCGAGGCGAAAGAGAGTAGAACTGTGTGCTGATCTGTCGCCGTCTGGTGAGTAAACTTCATGAACAAAAATTTGAATTTCTGCTTCTTTGGTTAACGGAGACGCTAAGTCCCCCGCTCTTCCAGTCCCCCACTCCTTGAGGCGAGTGTAATGAGGTGAAGAGGAGTAGAGTAATGCGTGTCGGATGATGTCTTCAACAGGGGGCCGAGGGTTGACACCTTTTGATCCACGATGGGGAGATGCCTCGTTAAAAACCTCATTAGGAAAAACCCTGTGGGAAAAAATCCTAATGAGGGAAAAAGAGTACACCGGATGCCCCCAAAATGAAACAAAAGGTGCGAGCCCTTCGGCCTGGAGATGGAGCTGCAGCGGTGCCCGTCTGCTGGATGGTCGAGGCCGATCTCTAGATGTTGGTAGCTCATCATGATCAGTAGTCCTAGTCATCAAATAAAGATGACTAAGGGATGGGTCGAGCGACCGTCCACAATATGATGTCTGGTTCATCAAATAAAGATGACCAGAACGTAAGGCCGATGGGCCGAGAGGCCTGTACGAGAGCTCCACGTTGTCAAATAAAGACGACGAGGCGACGGTGCGGCCGAGGGGCCTGCATAAGAGCTCCACGTCGTCAAATAAAGACGACGGGGCGATGGTGCGGCCGAGGGGCCTACATAAGAGCTCCACGTCGTCAAATAAAGACGACGAGGCGATGGTGCGGCCGAGGGGCCTGTATAAGAGCTCCACGTCGTCAAATAAAGACGACGGGGCGATGTATGGCTCAGAGGCCTGCATAAGAGCTCCACGTCGTCAAATAAAGACGACGGGCGATGGTGCGGCCGAGGGGCCTGCATGAGAGCCCCACATCATCAAATAAAGATGACGGGGTGATGTATGGCCGAGAGAGGCCTATATGAGAGCTCCACGTCATCAAATAAAGATGATGGGGCGACGTATGGCCGAGAGACCTGCATAAGAGCTCCACGTCGTCAAATAAAGACGACGGGGCGATGGATGGCCGAGAGGCCTACATGAGAGCCCCACATCATCAAATAAAGATGACGGGGTGATGTATGGCCGAGAGAGGCCTATATGAGAGCTCCACGTCATCAAATAAAGATGACGGGGCGACGTATGGCCGAGAGGCCTACATGAGAGCCCCACATCATCAAATAAAGATGACGAGGTGATGTATGGCCGAGAGAGGCCTATATGAGAGCTCCACGTCATCAAATAAAGATGACGGGGCGACGTATGGCCGAGAGGCCTACATGAGAGCCCCACATCATCAAATAAAGATGACGGGGTGATGTATGGCCGAGAGAGGCCTATATGAGAGCTCCACGTCATCAAATAAAGATGACGGGGCGACGTATGGCCGAGAGGCCTACATGAGAGCCCCACATCATCAAATAAAGATGACGGGGTGATGTATGGCTCAGAGGCCTATATGCGAGCGCCATGTCATCAAATAAAGATGACGAAGCGAGATATGGCCGATGGGCCTGTAAATGAGCTTCACGTCATCAAATAAAGATGACGAGGCGATATATGCCCGATGGGTCTGCAACTGAGCTTCGCGTCATCAAATAAAGATGACGGAGCAAGATGTGGCTCAGAGGCCTACAAATGAGTTCCTCGTCATCAAATAAAGATGACAGAACGATATATGGCCGATGGTCCTGTAGATGAGCTCTTCGTCATTAAATAAAGATGACAGAGCGATATATGGCCGATGGGCCTACAAATGAGCTCTTCACCATCAAATAAAGATGACAGAGCGATATATGGCCGATGGGCCTACAAATGAGCTCTTCACCATCAAATAAAGATGACAGAGCGATATATGGCCGATGGGCCTACAAATGAGCTCTTCATCATCAAATAAAGATGACAGAGCGATATATGGCCGATGGGCCTACAAATGAGCTCTTCATCATCAAATAAAGATGACAGAGCGATATATGGCCGATGGCCTGCAAATGAGCTTCACGTCATCAAATAAAGATGTCGGAGCGATATATGGCTGAACTCTGGGCTCCTTTAGCCTTTCGGCCGGAGACCGCAAGATGTTCGCTGTATCTGAATAGGGGGACGAGGCGGTGGACGCCTGTCTGAATATGAGGACGACGACGCTGATGAGTCGGTCTGAATATGGGGACGACAGCGCTGACGAACCGGTCCGAATATGGGGACGATGGCGCTGGTGAGCCGGTCCGAATATGGGGACGAGGCGATGATAAGTCATGCGTCATATGAAGGCGACGGTCACCATCCAGGAAGGGAATGGCGAGCCTGGTCGCT